TTTTATTACACTTGTTTGGTTGTGAAGTCCTTGGAGGTTTCCAAGGCAATTAGTAACCCATTTTGCAGAACTCTACCCTCTGTTTTGCAACATCGTCTGGGGCGCAATTCATTTCACAGACGTTCTTTCCAGCCATCTTATTGGAGGTCGACCGCTGGAAAGGAGAAGGGTCGTCTGGAAAATCCTATTTTCTTGTTTTTAGACAAAGCAAGTGGCACGCCTAATAACCAAACTCACGTGGTAAAGGCCGGCTGAGGATTTTTGGGGAAACACTTACTCATCAATTACTTTAAGGTGCTAAAACAATACCTAATAGCAATCAATTTAACATAATCAAAAAATGGCAATCCACAACAACCACAAAAGTTTTTCCAAACCAAATCAAAAGATATGGATATGGCTGAAACAAAAGCAATCCAAAGTACTTACTCTCTCCATGGATAGCTATGCATTTGTGGCATTTTCCTGCCACTTTCTTGGTTGATCTAGACCCAAAGATGTAGAGACCTTCTACACTGAACTCTCTTGCTTCTTTTCCTTCCTCAAAAAGTAAATTTTGTGAAAATGAAACACAGAACTAAGAAATACACTGTTATCATGAATGTACCAACTTAAAATCTTTGATTCAAGATTTTTTTTTATTAGTAAAATAAAAATTTTATTATATAGAGCACAAGGGACACTCTTACCCATTTACAAAAATTAAAAACCAACTAATTCCAAAACAATGCAAATCCAGCAAACATAAATGCAAAAAAATCAAAAACCACAATTTGAAAACAGAATGCCACATATGATCTTCATACTTCCGTTGCTATAGCTTATTAATTCACTCCAGCACCTGTTTCCAATAGCAAAAGAAACCAACACACTCAACTGATCCTTATTCTTCATGGACACCCTTATTTCGGATTGCTTGTTGTAGCTTCTTATAACACATTAAATTTTTGCAATGCTGAACAATAGCATCCCTATAGTCCATAGGCCTTAATATCCAATCCGTGTAAGAGAACACTCAACCTAGTTCCTTATTTTTAAGCCATAAAAAGGATTTAGCCTAAATAGACTCAAATAATTGCACGTCAGATATCACATTTGTCCCAAACACTTGCATATTCCTCCAATACTAGACAAACCAAGCAGTAACCAGAAAAATGAGAGCGCTGAATCCTTCAAACTTCCCCCACTTATTCCATAGACCATTGACTCCACAATGAGAGCCTTGAATCCTTCAAACTTCCCCCACTTATACCATAGACCACTAACTCCACCAACCCAAAGATATCATTTGGTAAGACACTCTGTAAACCCCACCAACCCAAAACCTTCATCCATACTAACCAAACCCCTTTACACTCACAAAAAATATGATGAAGTTGCTCCACTCCTTGATGACTGTAATATCCCAAATTTTTGGGAATTTTATCAATTAAGTTAGGGACTTGTTTGAGAAAGAAATATTGTTTTGGGGCTTAATCATAAAATTTTCAAAAATTGAGGGACTAAAAAGAAAGGAGATTAGGATAAGGATTAACTGTTTTTTCTTTTTCCTTTTTTCTTTCTTTTCTTCCTCATCAGCCGCGTGTTTCTGCTTCTGCTTATCTTCTTCTGCTCCCCGACCAGCCCCCCCAAAGCCACCGACTTCTTCCTCCTTTGAAAAACCGGTGAGTAAACTTGATTTTTTCTTGCTTTTCTTGTTCAAGAACCCGATTTGGAGCTTAGAAACCTCCCCCCCTGCAGAGAAATTTTCGGATCTACTCTGCTCTTCCATCCCTGTCCGTGATTTGCTCTTGGTTGGGTGAGAATGAATCATTGGTTTTAGGTAAGGAAACAGCCATGAATTCCTCTTTTCATCCTTAAATTGGCTTGGGTTCACTTTAATTTCCTTTGTTTCCTTCAATTGCCGGTGGTTCTCCTCCAAAAACCCGTCGGCTTCCTTCCCAGCCGGAACCGGCCTTTGCTTGCCGGAAATTCTGGTAAGTTGCCGGCTCTTCCAAGTCCGAATTACCCACTTAATTGCTGCGTATTGAGTTTTAATGGGTTGAATTGATACCCTTGGTTGTCCGAAAATTCTGTGGAAATAGGAAGAAATTCGGCAGCCATTAAGTATAAAATTTTAGCTTAAATTCATGTAGAAATGGCTTGATTGGCTGTTGTGATGTTGTGTAGGAATAATCCCGTGTGTGTGAGTTGTGGTTTGCCAAAGCTATGCTCTCCATGTACTGCCCGTGAGAAATGGGGAAATTTTGGTAGCTTAAGCTATGTTTTTAAACTTAGTTTAAGTGTAAATTAGCTTGAATTGGGTTGTTGTGATTTTGGAGAAAAATCCCGTGAGATTAGTTATTGTTTTGCTAATTTTGGAAGTTGAAGTTACTGTTCACAGGTAGTGTTCACGGGTACTGTTCATGCACTGATGTCCAATGATTAACGGGGATTTAAATGTTTAGTTTGTAATATAAGAATAAATTTGGAGATGTCCGGTTACGTGGAGATTGATAGAAATAGCACTGTGATTAGGGGTAGTACTAACGATGATTTTACTTTGAATTTGTGGTAGTGCGGTATTAACTTTGAAATATTGTGATTAGGTTTTGATCGTTCTGTCACCGTAGCACTTGGGTTAAGCCTTCTGTTCTGTGCGAGTGAGGTAAGTAAATTATGGTAAAACCCTTAGATTTCAAAGCATGTTTTAAATTGTTTTTGAGATGGTGGCAAGGTTTAAATTGATTTTATCAGCATCTGAGTGTGATTAAATTGAAATGAAAATTGTGATGATTTTTATGAAAATTATTGTTTTCTGGAATTGAGCAGGATTGAAATGAAATTGTTTTCATTTGCATTGAGTAAAGCATGCCTATTTGGAATTGATTGAACTAGTTTGATGAACTGAAAATTTTGTAAATTCTGAGTTTTTTTCTGCTAAATCCATGCTCACATGGAAATTTTTTGATTTATTTTTGAAATTGAGATTTATGGTGAATTATGGATTTTCTATAAATTTTGCATGGTTTTGTCTCTAATATAGTCATGATTACTGACGCCCGCTAGTGGGAGTTTGCAAACACTAGCACATGTCGACATGTGTTTCTGTAAAACCGGTTCATCCTGCCAATGGAATAATACATTGGTAATTACTGACGCCTGCCAGTGGGAGTTTGTTAAACACTAGCCATGACTTATAGATGAGACTACTGAATTTTCTTCTGCATTAACGGTTTGTTATTGAACGCTTTGTTATTGAACTGAATCTGATTTTGCATTAAGGGTTTAGCATTGAAAGTTCTGTTATGCTTACATGGTTTATTTGGCATGCTTAAATTTTTACCAAGGACTATCCATATTTTTACTTACTGAGATTTTTATCTCATAGTTTTTCCTTGTCCACCATTTCAGGAAGCGAAACTGAGGACAGGGAAACCAAGGGGAGTGACGAGGTAGAAGGCTAGCGATTCTAATTGGATATAAGTTTAGATTTTATCATCCTTTTGTAAGGTAGATTTTATTCTTGAGATTTTGTATATGATTAAGTTCCGAGCCTTGTGCATTTGTGGGACTCGTCTCACGAGTGCACGCGTCTGCCACGTCTCCGGATTTGGGTTCTGGGGCGTGACAATGACAAAACCCACAACCAGCATCTCCCTTGACAAAACAATCCCTCTCTTACACAAATTCTCTTTACTAGTTAACCTATTCAAAAATAACTCCACCAAAAAACACTCAATTTAGAAGGGACATATTTATTCCAAATAACCTTTAGCCCATTTCTCATAAAAAATACAAGATTTCGATGCCAAAAACTCATAAGCCGCCTTAACCAAATAAAAACCATCACTACTATACACCCATCTCGAAGAATCCACTCCATCTATCCATTATTATGCACTCATAGTCCCTCTTTGATTCAAGATTTTAATTGATGAAACTCAAATAGATTTGAAGTTCTATTAAATGAAAGAAGATCAACACTATTCTTCTTCGAGTTCGAGGAAGAAATTCAAATTCAATTTTGCCCAAGGAATTCAAATGCAAAGAAAGAGATTGAACATAGGCAGACTTACAGGGAGGAGAAATGTAGCACTTGAAGCATTGAAACAGTCTGTCGACATCATCCATGGTGTCGTAGAAAAAAGAGAAGGCGTCGGATGGGAGGAAGCATAGGAGGGTAGCCACAGTCAAATTTGTTACATGTTGTTTGGATTAGGGGTGTCAAACATAAAAGGAAGAGAACGGATGGGGACAGACAATAAAGAAAGGGAAAGGATGGACATAGACGATAAGGGAGGGGAAGTTGTCTCCTTTCTCATGTTTGGATTTGTAAAGATGTAGAAGGGGAGAGAGATTGACCAATTCGAAATCCCTCAACCACCCTCAAACCTCTCGAATTGCAATCCTCCAATTTAGGGGGTTAGCAAGGATTTTCTACAATGTTCAAATTGTGTAAAAGATAATTACAAAAATAACCTTTTTATCCATTACCATAAATCATCCTCCTCCTTCTTGCGGCCACAAAACCAAAGGATTGAACAGAGCCAAAAAATAGTAAATACACCTCGAACACTTTGTTTTTTAGTACTTTCAAAGTTTTGCAATATTTTATGTTAACATACATTGATTTGTTTGTAAAAGAGAAAACTATTATTAAGATCTGACAGAATATTGTTTTCTATTTCTTTACGTGCTCATTTTATCTGCCATACTTCTAATGGCTTCTTGACATGACCAATTTTTTCATATTAGATCTTTCTGTTACTATAGCAGTCTAAAGTTGAGCTTGGATAATGAACTTCATTTGCATGTTTGTACCTCTTTGTCTTTTCTTGTCTTTATAATGCATCCACACAGCCACGGAAGGAAAGTAAATAGATACATATAAATAAAAGCATGTTTTAGAAGAATTTTTGCATTCCTATCCTTCATTATTGCCATCATACAATAATGAAAGAAGTCCTTCAAAGAAATTTAGGCAATAATGAGGTCACTTGTCTTGTCTGGATACCTGTTGCAGCTAGAGTGTAACATTGAGGGGTGGATGAAGGAAGCTTCAGCTTGGCGCAAGGTTAGACGAAAGGACTTTTAGGTATAACTCTACTTGCACATGGACATAGTTTTATTATTCTTTAACATTAAATCTATTTTTAAGAAAAGGGATAATAAGGAAATAGTACCAAACCTCTTATTTCATGATACAAGAAAGTTCTTTTATTTTGAGCTTAACATACCAGCTACATATTAGTTTGTAGTTGGAGTTTAGTTTCAAAAATCCCTTAAAATTTGGGTATCAAAGCCATAAAACAATGTTATTAAGAATTGAATTGAGAAAATTAATAAGATACTACAATCAATAGATTGATATTGTAACAAAGATTACAAAAGAAGAAGGAATGATATCCTATAGAATTAATGAGTAACTATAGGATAGATATGCTTATAAATTTTGTAAGGCATCAGCTTTAGAAGAATTAAAAAATTTAGCAAGATAAGTTTAAATGCTGTTTTACAACAAATACAAATTTAAAGACTAATAAATCAAAAGAAATATAGTTAGAGGACTAAATGTTTTCTAATAGAATAAAGAGGTTCACGTTAAATATAACAGACTAAACTAAACTGAAATAAATTTGAAAGTTAATAGACATGATTGAAAGAATTGAAAGTTAATAGATAGAGTTGAAAAGAATATAAAAGTTATTAGATGATTTGTTAAATTAAACTTTTTATTTTGATCTAGAACCACACTTCTTAGAACAAAATTGTTGACCCAACTATATTAATTGATTTAATTCTTTGAAAATAATTAAGGGACAACTTTTATGTATAATTTTTCATAAAACTTTATATATCATTCATTAATAATTAATTCTTTTAATTCTATTGAATGATTTTGTATTCTTCTATTCATTTAATAAAATATAAAATTATATAAATAAATTTTCTCTGTATCATTACTCTTAATTCTCCTACTTAGAGAGAGTAACTTCCAAATTTGAAATTATTTTTTTTCTTTTTTTTTTTAATATTTATAATCAAAATAACCTGAATCAACTTTCACATACTTCAAAACTAATACCTTTTCGGTAATCTCAAGGGCTTTTTTTCTCTTTCTTTTGTTTCACACTTCCTCTTCTTGATTCTATCGATTAAGTCGCAAGATATGATGGGCTGTAAGCCCTTAACTCCTTTCTTTTCCTAGTAAATTTTTGAGGCCCAATGTATGGCCTGTGCCCAACCTTGGGTCTGTTTTGGGTCCGCTTATAATTGGTCATTCTATTCGTTTGGTTCATCTTCGATCAGTTCTACTCATTTGAGTAGGGGTCAACAGGCGGCACAAATACGGTTCATGCATTAACTTCAGTTAAAAAACCAATTTAGTTCCTTAACTTTCAAATTCATATCAAAATTATCCTTAAATTTGAAAAAGTACCAATTGAACTTTAGTTTTCAGTACCAAGATAGTTCTAAGTTTAAGACATCAAACCCAACTTAGTTCTTGAACTTTGAAAACAAGTACCAACTTAATTTTTGAACTTTGATCACAAGTACAAATTTGATCTTTTAACTTTTATTACACATTAATCTAATGTATAAATAGAAATATATCATGATGATAAAATATAATTATTTAATTTTACATATCATTAATATTTTAAAGAAGAATTGATTTTGTAGCAAAATATTGAGCCACTTGGTACTTCCATTAACAGAAAGACTAATTTGATACCAAAAATTTAAGTGTAAGGATAATTTTGGCACTTTTAAAGTTTAAAAACAATTTTGATACAAATCTGAAAGTTGAGAGACTAAATTAATATTTTAACCTAAGTTTAATTTACTCATACATTTACTCATATTTGTACTTAATTAGAATAATAAAAGGCATAAGGTTTTAATACTCAATATTTATTTAGGTATTGAAAATTTATATCTATTATCTAACTTGCTGGGTACAGATATTTTTAAAGGTATACTTATATATTTGTTGAATATTAATATTTTTTTATATAGATTAAAACATAATTAAACTTATTTCAAAACACATATACTTTAGTTCAAATATACTATGTGTGTGTATATATATATTAGAAAATAGATTAGTTCATACTTATAACAAAATATATAAAAATTGAAGCATTAACACAAATTCTTACATATAACAAACAAAATATGTGAGCACATGCATTACACATATATAAGTTTACACATAACAAAATACATATAAACACAATTACATAAAGTCTTCCCTTGTTAGAATCTTCTTTGCATGAAAAAATTCATGACATGACATTATAAAATTAAGCATAGAACTAGAATATGATTTTTATATTGTAAAATTTTAGAGTAGTTAAACCACTTTTCAATAACTTGCAATGATATTTTTACATAATTAGTAAAAAATTTTAAATTGAAATTAAAAAATATACATATTACTAATTGTCTTTATAATTAAATTTAACCGTCTCTTACCAATAATTTACTTGCCAAAATTAACTGCATGGATCCCTACCCTATACTTGCGAACCATAGCCATAGGTGATAGGCGTACTCAACCAAAGCCATATCCAGCAAGTGTAATTTTCCAAAAAAAAAAAAAAAAAGGTTTCCATTTCCATGTATGATAACTAGAAGTTCTTATACAAAACATGGGAAACATAAAATGGGAGAAAAAGCAAGCGGAGTAAAAGGTGGGGAGTCTGCTACTATCATAGAAGATCACATAATGTTTTACCAAAAAAAAGAAAAAAAAAATCACATAATGTGGGTCTAAAATAACCATTATGAATAGAAAATACAAGTTAAAAAAATATATATATATCCACCTTCACATTTCTGCCTCATTTACATAAAAGCCATTAACAATGGTAAGAAAAATCCCAAATTCCTGCAAAATTCACGAGCGGGCGAGAGACGCAGTGTTAAGAGCTGGCGGCGACGGATTGTAAGGTTCATCATTTGTCCAGTTAGTCTCGCCCCAATGCTTCAACATACTCTTCCAATTACACAGCTTGTCAATACACTTCTTCTGCCGCCAATCCTTAACTTTGATTCTCCAATGACCGTCGCTGAAATTCAAACTCTCCGCCTGGCGTCTGTCCCACTCCAGCTGTGCCTTCTGCTTTGATTTCAACAGACAAAACTGGTGCAGCGGTTGTGGCATTTCGTCATGCACATTCCACCACCGCTCGTGGGCAGCATCGCTCGCGAATTCCCGCATGATCTCGTTGTTCCAGTTGCAGTCGTAGTCGCGGAAGCAGAGCCATGGCTTTATCCCCAGGTAGTGAAGGACGTAGAGGATAGGTGGGTCGGCACCGAAGAGGTGGGTCTTTTTCTGTTTAACCTGCTCCGGATCACCGACCCAGAAATGCTTCAAGAAATTCATGTGCTTCGGAATCCGATGCCACCATGTGAAGACCTCGTTTAAGTACCCCTGATCACCACCATTGTAGGATTCAAACTCATTGATGTGGTCCATCAAAAGGTGGAATGTGCAATTCGAAGGTTCAATGATCATCACGCCAGAGTTAAACATAGTGCCATTGTTTCCGGTGGCTGAGATTTCTGGCATTCCGAATAAGAAGTCAATGTTCCGGAGTATAAGCAAATCAGCATCGATGAATATGATTTTGTCATAGTCTGTAAGCTGCCAAAGTCGGAATTTGCTGTAATTCCATTCGTTATAAGCATCTTTCTCGGCTTTCGGATTCCTGATCCTCTCGATTGTCCTGACTTTCCATCCAGCAGCCTCAAGTCCGCTCCTGTGGTAAACGCTGATGGTTGCGTCTACAAGTATCACAAGATCTCGTGTTGAACCCGACATTCGAATGCTTTGGGCAGCAGCTATGGCTCCACAGACATACACATGAGCTGAATGCAGAATAGTTGCATACGCTTCTCTTGCTGGATTTCCTGAAGAAATTGGTTCTGCATTCAATTGAATACTGATTGTTACTAAGACCTAGCCTTGTTTGTGTCACCAAAATTTTCAAGATGAAAATAGAACTGCTCAATTTTAAACCAAAACAAAGCCAGACACACTGACCTTTGAAGCCAAAAGGAAGGGCGAGTTCACAAGATCCAACAGGGAGCTGGAGCTTGTCTCGGAGAACATTGAGGTTGGGTTTATATAACCAGACATTACCTTGTCGCGAAACGAGTTCTTTGCAAGTGAATAGGTTTGGTATTGGGAAGCATTTAGTGACAAACAGGACGTGTACTGGGTAAGACCCCTTGGCGGTGGCTGCAACCCCAGCTGCTGCTAGCTGCAAATGCAACCGGGCAACATCCCTTGACCAATTCCCTTCATTCCTGCAGGGAAGCTTGACAGCAACCAGATCAAGTCGTCTTCGTGGAATTTCAATCTTAGGCAAAGTAGGGCAGACAGGAACCTCAGATTCTTGCTCCTCATCGATCCATTCCGGAAACAAGGAATCCCAGGTAACATTTTTCTCAGCATAATCTAGAGGCAGCACAATGTGGGTCGCATCTGGTATAAGATGCTTCCATTGATCGACTTCATCCGCATTGAAGTTCAGAAGGCCAATTCCCCTGTAGTCACTCTGTTCACTTAGTTTCTCAGTAACTTTCATTACATCATCCCAGTTAGTTTCCAGTGGCGATACATATCTCGGATCTGATCCTCCCCATATCCATCTATCCATAAAATTCCTCCTGCATTGTATAAGCTATCTCAATCAGTTCTTCATGTGTTTAAATTACATGAAAACAGAAAAGTGGAAGCAGAGAATCCAGAAATTCCATTCAAATATGCAAAGGATACCTACCGAGGGCCAGGATTCAATACACGGTCATTGGGAGAGGCATCCGGAGAGTGAAAAAGCAATACCAATGTGCCAGAAACAATGAGAACCAGGATAACTTTCAATAGAGAGTATTTGCAGCATGAGCTCCTCTCTTGTATGTGGGGTGGCTTCTCATTACTTTTCACTTTATTTTTCTTAAACCTCCTTCTGTACAATTCTTCTCTGAAATGGGAAAGAAACATGGACGGATTAGAATGAAAATGGCAAACTGCTTCCTTCACACAACAATCGAATCATGAAAGACTGTCTTTTCACCAAACTTCAACATTAACAAAAGGCTGGTATGCAAAAAGATCGAATCCAAGAACATTGCTTGCAATTGAAGAAAAAACTTTTAAGTTCAGATATCAATATTTTGTTTCATCAAGCAATATCTATTGCATTAATTCTCACTTTTAAACCTCCAGAGAACATTATTTTAGTACAAAATTGAAACAAGGGATTTCGATATACCGGGGAACTCGATCTTTATCAAGCTGGCAAACACAGGAAATGCATCCGAGCATATACCAAAAGAAAAATTGCCTAAAACATAGTAACATCTAGCAACCGTTGAGATCAAATTGGAAAAAGGAACTCACATAGATGCTTTTAATTGGTGTCCCGTGGCTGCGTTGCCCATTGCTACTTTCATTATACAGTGCAAGCAAAAAGAGTTTGCAACATTTGATCTCTGCAACGAATCAAAAACAAAACAACACCCAAATTAACAAATCTGTCTTGGATCAAAAATGTAAAACCAAAAACAAATCAAGGAAAAGAAAATGATAGAACAAAGTAAAGAAAACTGGGATTTTGCCTTGGAAAGGATAATTAAGCAAAAGAGAGGGGAAACCTACAGGATGTTTTAGAGGTTAAGGCAGGAGAGAAGATGTAGGGGAGGATGCCTGAAGGTACAGGGATGCAATGGAGTCAATATAGAAGAAGAGTAACGTCTAACTGAATTTTCGATCTACTTCAAAATTATTATTATTTTTTTTATAGTTTTCAATTTAGTTTAGGTGTGTTACCAACTCTTGTAGTTGCTTTCTTGGTTGTACTAATCTTCGCTTCACCTTTTATCTATTATTATTTTCTTTGATTTTATTTCAGGTTCTTTTCCGTGAAAAATAAAATAAAATAAAATAAAAAAGTACTACTTCTAGAGGTGCTATTATCTTATAGGAATATTTCTTGTCTCTTTAAATTTGGAGATACAAAAATATGAAGAAATGATATATGACACAATGGAGTACTTAACAAAATATTAGAATATTGTTTTCGCTTCAATTAAAATTATTACCAATTATAGCTGGTGATACCATTGTGTAGCTTGAATTGGGAAAGATGTGTTGTTAACTGGACAAAATTATCAAATGATCTCTATAAAGACTGGAAAAATGTTAGGGTTTACGGTACAACAGACAAGAATAATGCTATGGTACCTCAAGCAGTGAGTGAGTGATTAAAAATTTGATATTTTAATTTAAAATTTTTAAATTTAAATTTTGAATCATGTAGAGAGAAATTTAAAAGAAATAAAAGACATCTTTTTTTTTTGGTATAACTCATTATTAAATGTATAAAAAAAATAATGTTATAGTTTAGTGTATAACCTTAAATTAGGGTGAGGTTATTGCCAAATCATTTTAATATATTATTTATTATACTTTCACATTACAAAATTTTTTAAAATTTTAGATTTTTTGGTTTCTTAATAAATTAAAAGATATAATAATTAATTAAAATAAAAAATATAATATTAATAATTAAGGGTGTAATAATAACATCGTCTTTAAATTAGTAATTTTTGTAATTAATGAATTGAATAATTTAAAGATAATATCATTTTTAGGATTACAAAAAAATAATTTACAGCAAATTATCATCGCAACATGACATGAAAGTTGTTTTCATTGATTTTTCATGCAACAGAGAACACAATTTGTATGCATTCTTCTTCTTCTTCTTCTTCTTTTTTTTTTTTCTTTTTTTTTGTATCATGGAAATTGAGGGAATGGGAGAGAAAATGAGGAATAAAAGGGTTTGAACATTAATAGTATAAGTGAAATACTCACATAATAATCATAAGAGCTATGTATCAAAGTTAAAAAAAATTTTGTATGCATTCATGGAATGATGGTTGTCAACCAATAAGCTTTGCTAGGATTAAAAGACAATTAATAATGACTTAGTTGTGAAACATAAATAGTATCAAAAAGCATAAATTTGAAACTTTTCAAAATTTTCTATTTAAAATCTTTTTATGGTTAAAAAGAAGTTCAAAATGTAAGTTTTTAAAAAGAAAATTTAAATTTATGAAACATTAATAGCATCAAAAAGGGAAAATCTTACAAGTTTCACCAAACATGCCCTAAGACTATTTGAGCTCAATGTCATAATGGTTAGGTAAGGCTAGGGATGGGATTATATTGTCCCAAAATTTAGGTAAGAGACCAAAATGTCCAATGTTAGAAAGAGTGGGGCGTCCATAGGAATTTACCCAGATAGAGATGTATAACCACTTCTTTTTCTTCCCTAAAAAATTTCCGACTTTGTACCTTTTTCCTGTTTTAGGCAAAACTATGAAGTATTCTTTTGCAATGTTAAAAGATACTAATTATTATACATAACACTAAGTACAATTAAGTAAAGATTCTTTTCTCAAGTTTTTTTTTTTTTTTTAACTTATCAAACATATAAGTCATGTAATTAAAATTTAAAATTTTTTGTTTTTATTAAAAAAATTATTATTAAGTTGTTAAATTTTTGGCTGTATTATTTTTAATTCTTCGTAACTCTAATTAATGAGGTTTCTTCTTTCCATAAAAAAATTCTACTTATTAATTGATTCTTTAGTTTCTTTGTAGATTAATGTAATTTTTTGTGTCATTTAAAAAAAAAATGTAATTTTTTGTCATATCTCATCAAATCTCAGAGAGATTTAATCTAACTTTTGAAATGCCGTTGCTTAGGGTAAACTATCACATTAGAAAAGGAAAAAGAGAGAAGGTGACCAAGTAAAAATGTGTTTTGAATGATTTTCCAGGCAAAATTAATTCTTCATCAACCCCCAACCAATAACAAGAAATTTGTCATTATCTCTGAGGGAGTAGTTGACAGATTAGGTTAATGAAAATAATTGGGTTTGGTTGACGCGAGTGGGATTAGGAACAGAAGGTGATCAAAATGTCCCATCTCACTTACCCGATATTAACATGTAATTCATCTTAAGTTAACAGTTAAGACAATGGCCCCAACAGAAGGATTACGACTCTTAATCCAATCTTAGACAAAATGTTTACAAGCTCCCTTTTTATGATTTGCTTTAAAGGCATGAATTAAAAAAATAAGAAAATTTTATTTTATAATTTAGACTATAAAATAAGATTATCATAGATCTACTTTCATCTGATTTAGTTGTATAAGTCAATGTAATTCGAATTGCATGATATATTTTTGAAAAACAAAAAATTGGTTTTCATACCATTTGGGATCACTTTCTTTTTTGGGAAGGAAAAATGATGGAGGAGTAATTTTCTGTTTTTCTGTTTAGGTTTACAACGCGGGGACGGGGAGGGGGGCATCCGTGCTTGAACTCGGGTACCGTACTTCTCATCAGTTCTATTTGTCATTCAATTCTTCTGTAAAAGTGAGATAATGAAATGGAAAATTCATTGGTTTAAGGGTCATCTCAGTTAACTATTTCACCTAAAAATTGTGATCGCTAGTATAATAGGACCGGTCAAAAGCACAATTAGAAGGTTAATTGATACTTAAATTAGTGGTAGATAATAATTAATTGACACATATGTCCCCAGCGATGGCAACCCTTCCTTTTCTTAATAATCTTTCAATCCAAGCAACGAGAATTTCATGAGAGAAACCAAAAAGATCTAGAAAGGGTAAGAAAGGATTTAAAAAATATATATATATTTTATTATATAACTCACTATTATAAAAGTAAAAAAGAAAAGAAATGTTCAAAATCATACCAAGTTATTTGATTTCATTTCTTTTTTGTGTAGCAATTAAGTGCACTGTAAGAAAATTCACATTTAGTGACTAAATTATTGATTATTAAATCTTTATTTTTCGTCACAAATTATTATAGTGATAAAATTTAAACCGTTAGTAAAACCTTTGTCACTAATGCTCTTAGTGACAAATTAATTATTTGATACAGAAAATAATTTTATAATGATAGAAAAAATTAACATTGTTAATAAGTTATTTATAACAATTTTATTCATCACAAAAAAATATTTTTTGTTACAATAATTTTCATTACAAATGTTACAATTGAGTGACAAAAAAATAGTTACAAATGCAATTGTGATGAAAAATTTAGTTATTAATTATTAAAATTAATACTAAATAAAAAAGATATTTATATAATTACAACACATATATTGTAACAAAAATTTTGTCACCAAAAGAATATAAATTTATTACAAAAGTTTAATAAAAAATATTATTATTTCAATACTAATCAAGTTCGATTAAAATTAATCAAGTTCGATTAAAATTAATTAGGTCCAAACTAATCTCAAATTTTATTGAGTTTCACATGTTTTATAATGCAAAATTTTATTTTCTTAAATATTTTTCATTGATGTGGGATATATTTATAATGCAAAATCTTATCATCTTAGGAGTTTTTTATCGATGTGGGATGTATTGATTAGAAAAAATTGATAATTTTTAGTAACAAAATGTATTTTTAGTGATGAATTATTTAGTCATCATTAAATATGTAAAGTATATGTGACCAATATTAGAATTCTGTCATAATTGTAATGCATTATAGTGACGATTTTTATTGACAAAAACTTATTTTATATATTTTTTGGTGACGAAATATATATTTTTTATGATGAATTTTTTTCTTCATTATTAAATATGTAATTTTTTAAATTTGTCACAATTATGATAAGTTATAGTGATGATTTCAAAATTCATCACAAGTTATAATCATTAAAAATTATTTTTTTGTAGTGGTGGGAATATAGGTCAATTTTAGCCCATCGTGCATATGAAGTCCATTTCTCCAGTTTTGTCGTGAAAGCAAGATTATTTATGTTGGGATTAAAAAATTCTTAAGAAATTATCTTTTGATTCTTTTTAAGGAATTTAAAGTGTTAGATTAAGAATGCAAGATATATGCATATATAAGCATGTGGCCAGGATAAAATAATTTTATCTTTCAAGTTCAACAAAAAGGGGACCAACCAGAACGGAAACTTGGCAGATTGAAAACCACACAGCTGGGTATGTTGATAAAGAAGGTGCAACTTCTTTATAAGATGGAAGCCTTGCACCCATCGCTACGTATCTCTTTGTTACTCCATCCCATGCATTTGAATACAGTAGTAAACAACTAATACTTGTGCAATCTGTTAGTATATCAAATAGATATATCGTTTCTTTAGTACATATATATATATACTAAAAAAGGGTAGCACCAACAAAAAGTATATACTAAAGAAGGGAAAGGGGTAACAGTGAAGGAATTGTATTAGCGTCGATTGGTATATATATGCATTGTAGTGGAAGCAAAGTAAAGGAAGGTTGTGTGCTGCCTTATCTATTATGGGGATTTTGAACCCTTGGACCAATTTTATGTTCGTGAGTCGGATTATGATTTGGGGATTTCGGGGGACTCATTTCAAGGAGTGGTTATAGCTACACATTGATTTATTAAGGTCATATAATATTATCTAAAAATATTAATTTTGTTTGTTTTGATTATTAAAAGTAATTAATAATTGATAAAATAATTGATTTTTATTACTTAATAAATTGAAATTAGTTTATAAATTAATATTTTTTATACATTATAATTAACTATTTAAAAAAATTATAAATTGACAAAATATCAATCAAATTAAATAAAATTTATGTGATCTTAACAAAATATTATATAACCATAACCACACCCTTTTTTTTTTTTTTTTTTCCGTAAGAATGACTATTTCTTGGCTAAATCATAAAACTAAGGTAGATTGTAAGGAAAATATAACAAAAGGAATGACCGTTGTTCACTTTCATCAATTTTGTTTCTAGTAAGTAAGTATTAGTCAAAAAGGAACAGGTAAAAACTAAGAATCGCTAATATATATAGTTATTATCACCTTATTTCATTTTACAAGAAAATACTTAAAAGAGAAGACATTTAATAAAAAATGTCCAATGACTTAATGATCATTATCTTTATTAGAGATTTCTCTTAGAGGTGTAGGGATTGAGTTTCACCCTAACATTTAGAGAAAAAAAACACATTCAATAGGTGACGCTTTCTCTCTTTATTTACCTTATTTTTAAGGTTTACTCGAGGAATAATAATATGACCCTAACAATAATACTATGACTACTAGATGAATCAGTCCTACTGACATATAAGAGCATGTAAAATAGTATTATTTTTTATTTTTTATATTTTTTTCTTTAGAGAGAACAAAGAGAATATTACCTCACTAGAAGCAAGTTCTAAAATCGAGCTTGTTCTCTACAAAAAAATGAAGAATAAGCTCGGTTACAATTTTTTAAGCATAAAAGTGTTCTAGTGCGTTGAAGTGCCTGACAATGCAACACTTCTTACATCTAATGGCCTTTGAGCCGTTGGATCAAAGGTTTTTTTTTTTTTTAATTTTCATTTCAAAATATGTTATTTAAATATATAAGTTATGGATCAAATAAAATAATATTAATATAATTTTTAAAAAAGCTCTATACATTAAAGATGATGTGTTCTTTTAGTTGTTTTATTTAAAAATTAAATATATAAAATGTGATTTTATATAAAATAATATTAATTATGATAATATGAAATCAAAATAATTTTTTTATTATTCCCGCTATACTTGTTCTAAAGGATCTAACAAAACATTGAACCGTTGTCACTGATATTATAAAACCAAAGAATAGAAAAATGCTTTGCTTTCCATGTCAAATAGCAGGAAGCCTAACTGAGTCAATGAGTTTGAAATTGAAAGGATAGGGATTAGGAGAGATTCTCTACGCTTTCATGAATACTTTGGAGAGGATGGGCTAGGACGGAGTCATTGCAGCTTACTTGGACAGTACATTTTTGCATGCCGTGGAAAATTTTACGTCCCTCTCCAAATTTTGTTTCTGGAGAGATTACCTCTTTTCTGCTTGAGTTAAGGGACAAGGTACAGACCCTGGCAACGGTTTTTCAAACAGTCAGAGCTCCCATGATGCTAGGTATTTAATCAGAAAGAAAAAAAAAAAAAAAGAAATGCAAATAATTTGCACAAACACTGAGAATATCTTCGTATACTCGTAGATATCATATGAAGAGATCAGCATTGCTACCAAACTAGGAATATCTTCACATTTTCATTGAAGATGGTGCAGTCTATGTTTGTAGGAATGTTCTTCTGTATGTTTCAATGAAAATTATAGCAACCACAGACAAGGATTGAGATGTTACAACTAGAGAGTTTCTGCCTTATGCTTAAATATGTAACATCAGGATAAATGTGATTAAATTTGTACTGATAAAAAAGGATAAAACCAACATTCTTGAGAGAAAGTTGAAATGATTTAAATCTCGGGCTCAGAGCTTTTCTCCTCCTTAGGGGGCGCAAACTGTTTGCTAAGCCGAGATTTTGTCCATGGATCCAGAGGAGCTCTCTGTGGTGGTTGTGGAGTCGGTGGTTTTGACTGCCTAAGTTCATTTTCTCTGTCAATAAACCTGCTCAAAATTGTAAATAGATAATCAAATTACAAGCCAAATTGTCAAGGATTGTTAACATGCAAAATAATCTATTCATAAAAAGGATTAGTTGGATTTGATGGCTGACTTCACTTAATCAATCACATTCAGATGCAATCAAAGATACAAGAAGAGACAAAGCAAGCAAACAGGTATATTAGCAATGACTTGATTATAATCACCAGATACTTAGCCAAAACTACCACAAATTTGGTATACAAGTCATAGATGTCGAAGATGACAGTACATTTAAAAATTAGAGCATTCTTATTCAACATGAAATTAATAAGATTAATAACAACAACAATAGCAGTCCAATAGATTAAATCAACACAACATAGATACAAGCTAATTATACTGTTGCCCCCTCCCACCTTCCACCCCAAACTCCTAACCTTTCATTGTTCCTTTTTCAAATTCAATAAATATGACAGGTTTCAAAAAAATTAAAAATAAAAAAGGATAATAGCCTTACTCAATATATGCCATTGGTGCCGCATCACCAACTCGTATGCGAGTTCGAAGTAGTCTTGTGTATCCACCTGCTCTATCTCTGCATACATATTATTCAATCAATACAACAAAAAATACAGAGAATATCCAAAGAAGAGTTAGGTTTTAACTAACTTGTATCGGTAAGCCAGTTCTGTAAATAGCTTGTGTATGACATCATCCCCCCGCACAAAAGCAGCAGCACGCCTCGCAGCAGAAAGGGAACCCTGTAAGTATTTCATAAAAAATGAGTAAGGCCATTTTGCAGGACAAGCAATAATCAATACAAATAATGCAATTCAGTAAACATAAACGTGAATCATGCTGGACATTTCAGGAACCTCTGTCAAGTAAAATTTTCATTTATCTACCTGCAAGTAGCACTAGAACCCTGGATAAGCATTCTAGTAATATCTCTACACAGCCTCCTCTTATTGTCGTAGAATGAATTAAAATAAAACAACCACATATGAAAACAGAAATATAACATTTCAGGTAACATTTAAAGAAATATATGATGTTATGGACATAATTCAACCAGATTCTAAGTGGCAGCTGCCTGTTTTAGTGTGTAGCATGTCAACATCATGATCCTATCAAAGAACAGAAGCAACCATCTCAGGTATTATCTTTTAATGACAATAATGTGAGTCTTCCAAATTTACTGATGAAAAAGCCTCAAAGATGCCAAACCAAAAAACAACCCAGCAACCTCCTCCAAAAGTACAATCCAAAATGCAGCTTCAGTGTAATAAGTTGGACAAATATCAGACAATAGTCATGAGTCCCAAAACAACTGGACAAACTATCTTAGGGACTTCGTCTCCTTGGGATGATGTTATCACATAAATTTGCAATGACATCCAAATTGTTAACCAACTATTAAGTCAATAACTCTCAATTCAAATATTAATTACAAATCCCTGAAAACAATCTACAGAGCAATAGAGTGAAAAACTCGTAGAATTTTTAGCCCTCAGCCATATAGGCTTCAACATTAACATAAAGAAAATTCACATAAAACCTCCACCTTTATGTTGAGCTAATTGCATTTCGTATTTGTTATATAAAGCTGCATTTGCACCCACACACTCATGGGACCAAAAATCTCACATAAAGTTGGCAATTATTAATTTAAAACAACTACCAAGTAGTAAACACATTTAGAAAAGGTGCAATAAACCTTCCTGGACTTTGTCCATATCAACATTAGAAGGGTATCACAATTTTCCACAATAAACTGGACATCGAAGACAACATTTTATAAAAAGCTTCTAAGAATATAAATTATACATAAGAAATAAGTAAAACAGTAAAACAACAAAAATGTAAAATATCAAACACACCTCTTTACCAAGTTGTACCATATTATCTGCAAGTCGCCGAACCTCCTTCGCCTGCAAATACCAAAAGCAGTAACTTATATGATTCAATTGAAGTCTGTATCAATATTGAAGGTCCCAAAACCAATTAAACATGAAATTTAATAATAAAAAAAAATGACACTAATGCAACATAATCCGGATTCAGTAACACAATTAAAGAAAATTCACATAAAGAACTCGAATTCTTCCTCATTCATGTTTCTTAAAGCCCAGGAAAACCCTAATAGCATGAACCTTAGCAACAGTAGTTTCAATTCTCTCGTGCTTCACCAACTGCGAAACCATTGTTCTGAAAATTCAAAAACAAAAAAAAAAAAAGAAAAAAAAGAAAAAAAAGAGAGAAAAATCTTACGAATAAGAGAAAAGAAAATTAAATCAAAATCCTGCATAAATGTTTCTTGTGAATTCAAAAAGAAAGAAAAAAAAGTAAGATACAAAGGAGAGAGAACCTGAGCATGGACATACGATGGCCCGTAGGGCGACCAAGCTTCCTGAATTTGGTCATTCTGAGAGAGAAATGAGAGAAATGAGATCAATCAAAACCAGGGGATCAGATGAAGGCCAAGAAGGAAATGAAACGCCCTAGTTTTCAACAGGAGCTGTGCAAGTTTCGTGTACTGGATTTGGGCATATCTCGGCCCATAAATAACCCAAACCCAGATATGTACTGTAACCGGTCTTTTTTGGGGCGAAGGACTTTAACAGGCCTGAACGTTTATTTATTTATTTATATTTTTTGAAAAAACTATACGAGGTAGCTATTACCAGGAACATGAGAGAATTGTTCTGGGCCTTGTGGCTAAGTTTGATGCTTTGAGCCCATAGGTGAAGGTTACTAGGTAGGGCTGAGCATCAGGTATGTGCATCTTTGTTATTTATGGGTACTTGACCTAGTTAAGTACGTGTTTTATTGGGTATAAAGGAAATACTTAAACATTGGATATGAGAGTTCATATTTATATATCTAACCATAGTTATATTGATGAGCTAAATTTATATATATATTAATAGGGAATTTTTACTTTGATTTTATTGATATTTGGATGAGTTTTATAGGATTTTGTTTGATTTTACATGGTTTTCATTCTTTGTGTAGGAAAGGATTTAATTAAAAGAAATTCTACTTTTTAGAAGTAAATTGAAGAGATTAGAGACTCGAGGATCAACTTGTGCAGAATTCGGAAGTCAGGAACCAAATCTGCTATTTTACCATTGAAGAAATTGCAAAATGAGGCCAAAAACCCAACACGGGTGTAGTGTCGACACATGATCTGGGTGTCGACACCATGTGCTAAACGTCCAGAATCAGATTTTGTTTCCTATTTTGTGTCAACACGTAATCCGAAGTGTTAGCACCACGCAATCAGCATCTGAAATTCAGTTTCCTATTTCTATTCCAAGTCTTACTTCTATTTCAATTAGAGTTTCTAAAATCCTATAAATACCCATCTAAATTCAGAATAAGGGAGCCTTGAGAGGCTGGTAGCAGCCCTCTTTTGGGTATTCTTGGAGGTCAAGATAGAGGATTCAACAATAGAAGATTAAGGATTGCAATTTTCTCAAATTAGGTTTTATTTTTCCTTAGATATTTTTGTGTTTATAATTGTGATTTCAGATTTTATTATTTTTATTATGAACTGATTTATTCTACTAGGGCTATGATGTAGCATAATCAATTTAATATGAATTTTGTGATTTTATTCTTTCAATTTAAGTTATTCGCGTGAGGAGTTTATATTATTGAACTTAATGCATTGGAAGCCTGATCATCTTTCAATTGATTTAGTGATTTATGCATGAACTTGAGAAAGAATTGCGTAGATTATACCAATAATAATATAAACCGTGTGTTAGACTATGAGACCGAGAGGTAATTAGCTCACATGTGATAGTGGAGGAAGAGAAGAGAGTTAGTAGCTCCCCCTTCTTAAACTAGAGGTTTCCATAGAATTTAAAGCTCATAAGTTTGTTTAAAATTACATAGAGATATGATTAATTTAACAAACAAGTGAAGGATTAGCTTGACTTGAGAAAGCTAGTTAATTAATTTA